ATATATATATATATGAACTGAGTATTGTGGTCAGAACCAGTTTCACCGACTCTTTGGCTTTCTTTATGTGTTGCAGATGTACTACTATCGCTATGCGAATGCTGAGGTCAGCTGCTGCTACAAGTATCTGATGTTCAGTTACAACATCATATTCTGGGTGAGTCCAAACCATCAGACCAGAACCCTCACCAACCTACACCATCAGTGACTTAAAGGATCTCTGACCCAAACATCACTGACCCAAAACCTCACTCTGAGTCTAACTTGCTCCTGTTTTTTGATTATTATTTTTATGTTGGTGTAGCTTACAGTATATTTAAAATGTTTATCCATCCATTTTCTACCGCTTATTGCCTATCGGGTCACAGAAGCAACATGTTCAGGAGAGAAATTCAGACATTCCTCTCCCCGGTGACATTTTCCAGCTCGTTCTGGGGGGACTCCAAGGCGTTCCCAGGTCCAAGATACATCACCCCTCCAGTGGCTTCTGGATCTTCCCTGGGGCCTCCTACCAGTGGGACGTACCTGAAAAACCTCTACAGGGAGGTGTCCAGGAGGCATCCTAATCAGATGCCCAAACCACCTCAAATGACTCCTTTCGATGAGGAGGAGCAGCGGCTCTACTCCGAGCTCCCTCCGGATGACGGAGTTCCTCACACTATTTCTAATGCTAAGCAGGCCACCCTACGAAGGAAGCCCATTTCAGCCGCTTGTATCTGGGGTCTTGTTCTGTCAGTCATTATCTAAACCTCATGGCCACCGGTGAGGAGTAGAACATAGACATACTAGTAAATCAAGATCTTTGCCTTTCAACTCAGCTCTCTCTTCACCACGACTGACTGAAGCAACACCTCATTACTGAGGATGAGGCCCCAATCCTTCGATCCATCTCCCACTCTATCCAAATCCTGTCATCACTCACAAACAAGACGCCCAGATACTTGAACACCTCAACCTGAGGCAAAGTATCCCCCAACCTGGAGGGGGCATTCCACCCATTTCCGGTCGAGAACCATGGCCTTGGACTTAGAGGAGCTGACTGTAGGCCTGTCACGATAACACATTTTGCTGGGCCATTAATTGTCTCAGAAATTATTGCGATAAACGATAATATTGTTTGGAGACCGTTTTAAACTAATGTAATGATAATGACATAATAATGCAAATACATCCTCTCAAAGATCAATAAACTTTAATTTCAAAAGAACACTTAACACTGGAACTGGAAAATTAAACAACCAAAAATAAAATGGACTGTCAACATTAACAAAAACTGCACTTGAATAAAAACTAAATACAACCAACAAAACAAAATGGAAATAACAACTACATTCAACCAAAACAGTATGGATTATGAAGTGTGTAAACTAAATTGCCCTTCAAAAAAATAATAATCATTAGTAACATTAGTAGCAAGTTGGTTGTATTGCTGCTCTTAGTTGCTACTGTTTTATGACAAATGCGACATACCAGCTCACAAAAGTTCAGCGGTTCGCCTCGGTCATTGGTTTGAATCTGCAGTGCCCCCACACTGCTGCTGTCGTTGTGTTCAACTTTGAAACCAATTCCATTTAGTTTTTTTCCCCAATATCAAATAGCGTTTCTTCAGCTTGCTAACTCCTAACAGGGCTCTAATGCTGCAGAGGTACAAGACAATACACCTTGACTGGCCACCTGACGTGACAGTTCACTCCCCTTTATGCTAAGTAAATGAGCAAGGGAGGGGTCAGTGAAGAGCACTGGAGTTGAGCCTTTTGTCATCCAGTGTCTTCAGTAGAAAGAGAGAGACACGAAGAAACAATAAGGCTGATAAATGAAAGTTATCGACCTCATTTTAATTTCTCATGCGATTACGGTAATTGATTTCTTGTTTATCACAACAGGCCTAGTTGACTCATTCCAGCTGCTTCACAGCCTGCTGCAAGCCATCCCAGTGCACACTAAAGGTCTTGGCCTGAAGACACTAGCCACATCATAATAATAATAATAATAATGTCATCACAATGTCAGCACTGTATGTTTCCATACAATGGCGAAATTAGTCTCTGCATTTAACCCATCCACCACCAGGTGGTGCAGTGGGCAGCTATTGAAAGCGCCCGGGAGGCATTTTGGGGATGAGGTGTGCTGCCCAAAGACACCACGTGATGTGCAGTGACTGGGGATCGAACCTGGGACTTTTGGGTCCCAAGCCGGCTGCCCTGCCTCTACACCACCTCGGCCCCCATCTGCATAAAGCAGAGATGAGACCTTGAGGTTCCCAAACCAGACACCCTCCTCTCCACTATGGCGCCTCGAGATCCTGCCCATGAACACCACAAACAGGATAAGAGACCAGGGACAGCCCTGGCAGAGTCCCACCTGCACTGAGAACGAGCTCAACTTTGTGCCAAGGATGCAGACTGGATAGCTCTTAACAACGCAGGCATCCCCATATTCCCACAGCACCCCAACAAAATGCCTCGAAGAACTAGGGGTGTAACAATACATCGATTTAAATCGATATATCGATTAAATGATTAACGATTCAATTATATTGTGGCAAAATGAAAACATTGATTCATATCATCATCTTTAAAATGTGCTTTTATTTTGAAATTCCCAAGGCACGTCTGTGTCACCATTTCCAGCGCGGCTGCGCTCTGCGGCCGCCTCGGCAACATGGCAGACGAGTCAGAAAACACAGGAAATGAAATTCACTCTCCTGCTGGATTTAAATCAACACTGTGGAAATATTTTGGATTCTGACAGAAGAACGGCTCAACAGATAAAACTCATGTCGTATGCAACAAGAGTCAGTGTGAGTTAAAATACTCGGGGAAACAACAAATATGGCCTTTCACTTGAAGAAGAAACACGGCATTGATAGCTGTTATGTAAGCTCAATATCTTTTTGTTTCTTTATAAATGAAACGTAATCAGGCACTTTTAAGTTAACTGGTTTAAAAAATGCACTTAAACATGAGAAATGTGAGACTATACTGAACAGGTCATTCATTTTTCATTAATTAAGAAAAAATGTTTTTTTATTTTTTTATTTAAATGCCTGGTGCCTGTAATAACAGAAATAAAATGGTTAAATCATATTTGAATTGTTTTTGTAAATTTATTTATATGTAAATGAGATGGGCATTTGATATCGCAATATATCGACCGCATACTTGTGAATCGAATAGAATCGAAATCGTATCGTGACAGACTTTGTGATATCGAGAAAAATCATATTGTCGTACAAACAAATCATTATAATATCGTATCGTGGTAAAGCTGCTGATTTGCACCCCTACGAGGAACAGTCTTCACCAGGTCCACAAAACACATGTAGACCAGAGAAGCAAACTCCCATGAAC